CTTCTCCAGTTTCATGTTTCAGCTAGTCTATACATTCCACCTGGGAAATGTACACATTATATTATGCAAAAGTCTTTTGGGCTAATACAATACTTCAAAGGTTCTAAGAAACAATCCTAAGAAACAATTATTATGCAAGCAACTTATTAACACTGCAGGCATCTATTTGCCCTGCAGTATCACATGGACAACAACAGCAATGTTTAATTATGGGAATGAAGATCACAGATTGTGCATCACTTCTTTCCTCACACCCACAGGCATGTATTTCAGAGAACTCTGTCACAAAACTGGTATAATAGATCCCCTTCTATAACAGAAAATGAGCACTGCAACACTATGTAATTCAGTTTCACATACTACATAGAGGTCTGTAAGGTACTCTACAAATTAAATCTAATTAGAACAAGATAGTGCACTTGTGTAACACTCTCATCTTGGTTTACCTTCATCACACTTGGCTTGCAGTAACCGTGATTTGGTTGCTGCCCACACTGTGATATTCTGGGCCTCAGTAATTTGAATAGCTCTTCAATCACTCCTACTATAAATAGTTCCCTGACCTCTTCTGTCACACATGTTGCTATACAGATACATTACTTACAGAGATAGGTCAGCTGAACCATAATGTGAAAATTAAACATTCAAGTTCACAAAAATACTTCGAAACCATCTGTTACTCTCCACATACAACCACATAACACATCCATTTTCTTGCCATTTCATATGTATGTCCTGAATTTTTGCTTACAAAAAGAGTAACATTCCTTTGACTATTATTTTTTTACCTCCTCTAAGTCCTCATTCATTTTGTTCATTCAAATTTGTTGATTTGATATGCAGAGAGAAAAATAACCACGTTGTCCTTCCAAAGTTGGGAGGTTTTTTTAACCTTCACTACTAAAATATGGTAGACGTTCTTCCTTGCTTCATGGCAAGAATGACTTGGATTTTTGAGAGGGCTTTACAATAGTCCTCTGGTCCCAGGTACTATAACATGAGCAGTAAATTAAAGGATTACCCATTATGTCTTATCAGCAAACTTGGAATCAGTTGATGTGAATGGGTTTGTCCGAGGTTTTTTAAAAGGAAAATTCAAGTATACCTAACTAAGAATCCAGTGAACATGCTGTGATTTGATCTTGCTAGGTAATGAATTTTTGCTTTACTTGTCTGAACTTCAAATCCATGTAAGCAAATGATACTCAAAAATCATCACCAGGATAATTAGAACCATTTATGCTTTGGTATAATTATCACAACATTTTATTATGCTTCATCTTTCCATTAGTCATTTTATAGAGGATTTGGTGTTAAACTTGACTGCCTTGATGTTGAGCATATCAAAATGTGTTTGATAGAATTCAAGAAGGCACGATTTTGTAATCCATTCTTTTGCAAAGCAGTACAGGAGTCAGGAGAGACAGCAGCACATAAGGGCTAGTTATTATATGAAGGAAAAGACCTTCATGTGTGCAATGAAATCTGTCACTGCTGTCTGCCCTCAAAGCCAACTGATTCTTCGTGCCACATGAACTCACATGCAAATAATGTCATGACCAACAGAGACCATACAATAGCTGGTATTCAGAGATAGTATGCAAAGAACCAGCATGCTTGATGTTAATGCAAAATCCCTGATTATTCTGATATCATTAGGAGCTTAGAAACACAAAACATATAGCACCTATCAAGACAGACTTAGAGAGTTTGGCTTGCTCAGCCTGGAGGAGGCTCAGAGATCTCAGGGCAGATTCCAAACAAGAAATCTGGAGAGGAGCTTTTAACAAGGGCAGGTAGGGACAGGACAAGAGGGAATGGCTTTAAACTGACAGAGGGGAGGTTTAGATGAGACCTGAGGTAGAAGTTCTTCCCTGTGAGGGTGGTGAGGCCCTGGCACAGGTTGCCCAGAGAAGCTGGGGCTGCCCCATCCCTGGCAGTGTTCAAAACTGGAAGGCTACCCCATGCCCTCCTGTGTCGGACTGAGCCCTGTGGTCCACAGCCCAGCTCCTCCAGTCCCATGAGCAGGGTCACCGGGACAACTGCAAACACCTTAAGGAAGGGCTCAACCCGCCCTAAGGCTGGGAAAGCAGCCATTACTCCAGGCTCTGATGGCTAGCAAAATGGGAGAGAACAGGGCCGCTGCCCTTGTAGTGAGCTTGGAGTGTTAGAAGCCCACGTGTATTTGCATAATGTCCTGCTTAAGCTTGTTACTTATTTAGTGCAGTGCTGTTCCTAACGTACATCACAGCCTGCTCTGAGGTCTGGCACTGTGCTTCATTTTGTTGTACTTCATTTTACTGTGCCTTTTAAAATTCCTATCCAACTCCACTGCATGTACCCAAGCTTCCGCCTCCAACTTCACCACACTTCCTCTGCTGCCACTTTGTTTTGTGAACATTGCTGGCCCTGCTGTATGCGTGACCACTGTGCCCAAAAGGATGGTGAGAGAACGGTAGGAAATCTGAAAACAAGAGTAGCATCTTTCTTACTGTAACCCAGGTCTGGTTGTGGATCAGGATGCTTTGGTGGAAGCCCTTCAGAAAAAAGTTATTAAGGCAGCCGCTTTGGATGTGACGTATCCTGAACCCTTGCCAAGATAGGAGATGTATTTAGGTGAAGTATAAATGAGTGTATGTATGTGGTTTGTGGTTCAAAGTAAGTACAAGTTTGTGAGCGTGTGAGAAGTTACACAATCTTGTTAGTAGGAGTACACGATGGACGTGCACTGGTCCTACCAAAACAATGTCCCCAGTCCTTCCGTCCTAGCCAAGCAAATTTCACATTGACTCATTTGGAGGATTTGTTGCATAAAAAACCCACAAGCAAGGCAGCAGTTTGAACTCCACTAAGTATGCTTTGGTCGGGCAATTATTTTTTATTCTTCATTATTATTTTAAATACTTCCCTGGCCCCCTCAAGGTGATGAAATAACAGATGAATGCTCTGTGCGTGACTGGCTGAGTACTTATTTTCCTTTTCCAGGAATCACCCCTTGTTAAAGCTGAAGAATGTTATAATAACTCCTCACATTGGAAGCGCCACCAAAAAGACACGCCGCCTAATGATGGAAGACATGACAGAAAGCATACAAGCAGGTCTTACAGGTCTTCCTATCCTTAATGAAGTATTACTGTAAAGCAGCCTGCATTTAATGTTATTGTCATTAGTGTTTGTCCTGGTGTGATGAAACAGTAATTTGATCACTCTTCATGCAATTATGCCTGGTGTGTATATACAGATCAAATATAATCGTTCTGGTTTCAGCTGGGGTAGAGTTAACTTCCTTCCTAGTAGCTGGTGCAGTGCTGTGTTCTGGCTTTAGTCTGAGAACAATGCTGATAACACACCGATGTTTTAGTTGTTGCTCAGTAGCACGCACTTACTCTGATCACGATTTTTCAGTCTCTCACGCTCTGCCAGTGCGGAGGGGCACAAGAATCTGGGAGGGAGCAGAGACAAGACATGTGACCCAAACTAACCAAAGGGGTATTCCATATCACAGCACGTCATTCCCAGTATATAAACTGGGGGGTGTCACCTGGAAGGGGCTGAAGACTGCTCAGGTTGGGCTGAATATCAGATGGTGAGCAATTGCGTTGTGCCTCACTGCTGTTTATTGGTTTTTTTTCTTTCCCCTTCTAGTTTTGTCTTCTCTCCCCTTGTTATTTTCCTTATCATTATTAGTAGTACTATTCTATTGTACTTTAGTTATTAAACTGTTCTTATCTCAACCTGCATGTGGGTTTCACATTCTTAGTTCTCCTCTCCATCCTGCCTGGATGGGGAAGAAAGAGGGTGGGGTGTGAGTGAGCGGCTGCGGCTGCATGGTAGTGAGATACCTGCTGGGTTTAAAGCATGACATTAGTGAATGGCTTTGATTTATTTAAATTACCAAAAGACATTCTGTGTGGAAAACCACAGTATTTTGTCATGAACTTCAATGAAAAACTCAAGTCTAGAGTCTTACACTGGTGTAATTTATTTTATAACACATTTAATTATTTTCCCTCACATCCTCTTTAAAATGCCCATCAACGTTACAGCTAATTGAAGGATGGTTAAATCGTATTCTAGTGTCACCGATGAAGTACATGGCACAGCAACCTGTGTGGGGGTGATGGACCAGCTTATCCTGATGCTACGGCAGCAGCGTTTGCCCTTGGGGAGCAGTTTGCAAGGCCTTGCTGGGGAAACGCAGCAACCAGCCTTAGTTCCACTTCCTAGACATCTCACCCACCTTAATAACAGGGCCTGGCTATGTGTACCCACGAGCCTCCCCGCAGCTCGGCTCCTCTCTTCCCCCGCGGGGCGAGCAGAGCTGCTCACAGCCGCCCACCGGCTCCCGCTGCCGTGTCGCTGCAGGCCCGGGCCGCTGCGCCGCGAGGGGGAGCCGGCACCGCCGGAGCAGCCGCCACGGGGAGCTCAGCCGCACCGAGTCAGATCGGGCCGGGGTGGTCTGCAGCGGGGCGGGCTGCTGGGCCTGCCCTGCCGCTGCTGGTGCGGGCAGGCGGTGCTGCCGGTGTTGCTGCGGCCTGGCAAGCGAGCACCGGGCCGGAGGTGCCGGTGGCTGGATACTGGGAAGCTCTTCCCTGTGAGGGTGATGAGGCCCTGGCACAGGTTGCCCAGAGAAGCTGTGGCTGCCCCATCCCTGGCAGTGTTCAAGGCCAGGTTGGACGGGGCTTGGAGCAACCTGGTCTGGTGAAGGTGTCCCTGCCCATGGCAGGGGGTTGGAGCTGGATGGGCTTTAAGGTCCCTTCCAACCCAAAGCCACTTTGTGATTCTTCAATTTCCCCCCCCCCCCCCATCACCTCCTTTCCTTGCCCTTCACCCCAACTGCCGGCCCAAGAAGCAAGTTGGTGGGCGGCCGCAGGCACCGGACCGGCACCGCAGAGCGCGCGCGGCCGGCCAGGCAGCCCCGGCTTGGGCGGCCCCACTCCGCCCTCGCCCTCCTACCGTCCGGCCCCGCTGTTGGGCGCGGCGGCGAGCGGAGCCGGCGCTGGCGGGTGTTGTGTGCTGCCCGGGGCACCGGTTCTCCTCCGCGTCTCGGCCCACGCCGCAGCCCCTCGACGGGAGGCCGGCAGCACCTTCGGTAGGACCGGGGTTGCGGGGCTCGGGTGTCTCCCGGGGTCTCTGAGCCGCGCTCGAATTGGCTGGGAGCGGGACGGGGACAGTATCATGATTTCTCCCGTGCCCTCCTTTGCCGTGCCGAGCCCTGCTGCCCACAGCCCAGGTCCTCCAGTCCCATGAGCAGGGTGACCGGGACAACTGCAGGCGCCTTAAGGAAGGGCTCAGCCCGCCCTAAGGCTGGGAAAGCAGCCGCTACTCCGCGCTCCGGCGGCTGGCGAAATGGGGGAGGACGGGGGCTCTGCCCCCGTCAAGCAATGGGTGGGCAGCAGCGGCGCCTTGCCACAGCTGCCCTGGGGCTGCGCATCCCGGCGTGCTCAGCCGGGGAGAAAGGGCTGCCCATTGGTGTCTGCCCGGTATGCAATAGCCTGTTCAGCACCACAGATGCTGTGGCTCTGAGTGGCCAAAGAGGCAGCGTGGGGGTCTCTTGTCTTTAACCTGAGATAATAGAGTTGGTTCTTTCCAGAGACAGCAGAGTGAAGAGTTGTCAGGACACCGAAGGAGACTGAGGCAAAACAAAGGGTAAACTTATGTTCAGGAAGTTAATTGATAACTCCAAAGTCCATAGCTCAAAAATTATAGCTCTGTTCTATTAAACAAGACTTTTTCCTGAGATAAGGAATGCTTATTAATTAATATGGTTGCATGGGTGGCAATCAAAGGTAGAACTTGGGGGCTAAAAGATACTCTCCCACTCACATGGTCACATTCTTAAATTACCAAGACTTCAACCTTTAAATACTGAATAGTGATCAGGATAGCATCTGGTAGCTCTTTAAGCGTTAGCATAGCTGGTGTGCCAGAAACAACTAACAAGATAGTATAAAAATTGAACATCCTTCTGAATAACACAGGAAGAATGCAATAAAAGTTGAGCATGTGAGTATCTTTAGCCAACTCTGTCATCAAGTGGGAAAACAGCACATAATGAAGCCGATCAACTCCTGTCTCTTCAAAGAAGGAACAATGGGTCTCCTAAGGATATGTCTTTTTGGTCTCTCCTTGCTTTAGTAGGCCATGGAGGGTCAGGAACTGCCTTACGTGCTCATTGACTGTATAGGAGGGAAGCATGGAGTATATGAAGACCACGTTGAATTTCTGGAGAAACATTTTCATCTCATCAGCATGAAAGAATATCTTGAAAACAAGAAATCTCTCAGTGAAAAGATCGGAGCTATTTATATGTGGTATCACAAACCAGTTATTAATGAAGAGCTGCTCCAGAGCTTGCCTAACTTGAAGATAGTTGCAAGCTCTGGAGTGGGAATAGATCACTTGAACCTGCACCTCCTATCCAGCTATGGTGTGAAGGTGGCCAACACTCCATTTGCCGTTTCCACTGACACTGCAGACTTTGGGATGGCTTTGATGCTGGCATCTTCCAGGAGACTTGTGGAAGGTAATAACTGAAATGGTTTTAGTCTTTTTCGAGAAAAGGTGACCTTTCAAAACAAGCAGTTAGCAAGCCTGTGCTGATGCAAAGGTAAGTTTAAAAGGAGAAATAAAGGAAAATAGAGGGATGAGGAAAAAGTTAAGACAAGCCTGTCATGTTGACAATAACTTGCATGCATTGTGTACCATTTCCAAACAGATATATCAGCAAGGTAGGTGTGTTCCTTCTTCAGACAGCCCTAAATTCAGGCCTCTTCTCCCATAGCCCATAGCCACTGATTCATTGTACTTCTTTACTGCAGTCCTTCCTTTTCAAATTTTACTAAAAGGGGATTAAAAGGAGATATTTTCAAGTAGGCTTGAATCCTGTCTTTGCCAAACTGACATGTATCTGAGTCATTATTATGCACAAGCTGTCCAGAAATCCCTCCACCATGCTCTGTGTTTCTTTTCTGGGTCAACTTTGTTGTTTCTACAAGACAGCTGGGAACCGTATTTTGACCTTACTGAAAGTCTTGATGATAATACAACTGATTCATCAGTTGCACATCAAAGGAAGATTGCTGCTTTGGCCTTAACTTCCTTGTCTGCCAAAGAGGGGCTGGATATGTTTCTGTCCTTAGCAAGAAATCAATGTCAGACATCATGTTAACAGTACATTATCTGCTTCTTGTCCAGAAACACAACAATAACAACCTAAACCATTCTATGATTGTATGATTGTTGCCATTCCTGTGCTTCTGCCTTGTTTTATGATAAAAAGTCAAAAAAGCCCTGCAACCCAAAACTAGTAACCTGATGCCAGGACATTCTTTAAATGACATATTTTCATCTTTTCCCTCCCCCAAGGCTATCAGATGGCAGTCTCCCCCAGCACAGAGTATTTCCCTGCAGACTGGCTGGGGACTGAAGTTTCTGGGGCAACCCTGGGGATCGTGGGGATGGGAACCATTGGCTACAAAGTGGCCCAGAGAGCCAAAGCCTTTGAGATGAAGATTTTGTACCACAACAGGAATCAGAGGTAAAGCAGGTTGCATCTCCATGGAAAGTATTTTATCACTGCTTTGAAGCGTTTTTTGTACCTTTCACTATCAAACTGATCTCCTGTTTTCTCTGTGCAAGATTAGGACAATGTGCTCTCTGTATTATTCTTACTAAATATTGTGCCAAGAAGCAGGAAGAGCCACAGATCATGGCCAGGTTCACACAAAAGTCCAAACCATCAGGCAAGCTCACAGGGCAGAGGCCAGACAGGGGCTGAGGAGAGCTGGACCAGCCCTGCTGAATCACTGGGACAGGAGCTAATAGCCCGAAGGGAACCTGCCATGGGGTCCTGGGATGTGGGGAAGCAGCGGGACAGGGACAGCCAGGACTAGTGGTGTCCTCTGAGCCATGACAAAAAGTCTCTGCTATATTACTGTCGCTTTATTTGGGGTGGCAAAGTACATATATACCTGCTGCAAGATGGTAATTAATTTCCCAGCTTATACGGAAACAAAGTCAGGAAGGAATGGGAGAGATACATCTCACTGGTCTCCCTGAGCCTTCCTGTCATGTTGGTGACACTGTAATAGACTGAGGAAAGGAGAAGTAATCGGGAGGATTTCGCTCCCAGATTTAACCTTTTTACATTTAACTTTTAATGTGGTTAAAAAGGATGTAACCATGCCAAGTGCAACGTCCTATACCTGGGCCGGAGCAATCCCAGGCACAGCTACAGGTTGGGCAGAGAAGAGATTCAGAGCAGCTCTGTGGAGAAGGACTTGGGGGTGTTGGTTGATGAGAAACTGAACATGAGCCGGCTTCAGTGTGTGCTTGCAGCCCAGAAAGCCAACCGTATCCTGGGCTGCGTCAAAAGGAGCGTGACCAGCAGGTTGAAGGAGGTGATCCTGCCCCTCTACTCTGCTCTTGTGAGACCTCACCTGGAGTGTTGTGTGCAGTTCTGGTGTCCTCAACATAAAAAGGACATGGAACTGCTGGAACAAGTCCAGAGAAGGACCACGAGGATGATCAAGGGGCTGGAGCACCTCCCGTATGAAGACAGGCTGAGGAAGTTGGGGCTGTTCAGCCTGGAGAAGAGAAGACTGCGTGGAGACCTCATAGCAGCCTTCCAGTATCTGAAGGGGGCCTATAGGGATGCTGGGGAGGGACTCTTCGTTAGGGACTGTAGTGATAGGACAAGGGGTAACGGGTTAAAACTTACACAGGGGAAGTTTAGATTGGAGATAAGGAGGAAGCTCTTTCCTGTTAGGGTGGTGAGGCACTGGAATGGGTTGCCCAAAGAAGCTGTGAATGCTCCATCCCTGGCAGTGTTCAAGTCCAGGTTGGAGAGAGCCTTGGGCAACATGGTTTAGTGTGAGGTGTCCCTGCCCATGGCAGGGGGGTTGGAACTAGATGATCTTAAGGTCCTTTCCAACCCTAACTATTTTATGGTTCTATGATTCTAACTCCTGTGACTTAGGTGAGGCTGGGACACAGGCAGAGACATGATCTCACCCTTTCAGAACCAGCTGACAGTGAAGAGCTGGATTTGCTAGCCTGTTTGCTTTCTTCTAGATGAGGTGTATGTGCCCTTCATAAGTGCTGTGAGTCCCATCAGGCCCTTGCCATCTTTTTATCTGTGGGAATCTAATGGGAGCTGGGCAGTACTTGCCACAACTTTGTCCTGATGCTTATGGAATGCACCAGCAGGTCCTGCAGCCTGTTATTTCAGTGAAGCAACACTGATGCACAGAGCAGGTTGACTGTTGCTGAAACAAATTTCAGAAGACTTAATCCTGGCGCTGTCTTGTGGCTTTCTTCAGTAATTTACAGACAAGTTACTTTACAAAGGCAAGGGAATTCACGTCAAATATCAGTCTTGCTTTTGGGCTGGAAAAGAAACCCCATCACATGCAGAAGCTGTGACACAAATGCATTTATTTATTGTTTATTCAGTGCATTCATATGATTCTTGCATGCATGATTCTTTATGTATGTGATTCTTTACACGCATTTCTTGCTTGCCCTTCCACAGGTAGAGCACTGCACAATTGTGTGTAGTGCACTTGGTATTGTGGGAAACAGTGTGACATACTGAGTTTCAGTCAGATAACAGTCTAACTGCTTTGCATTATGGAGTGAAGAAAATGATTAAGAAACCTTTTATCTAAAGGTGATTTGAACTTTTTTCTTATTGCTTACTGCTGGACTTAATTTGGGGTTTTTCCTTTCAGAAACAAGGAAGAAGAAAGTGCCGTTGGAGCTGTTTACTGTAAGAAGATAGATGATTTGCTCCAGCAGTCAGATTTTGTGTTGCTGTCTGTAGCCCTGACTCCACAAACACACAAAATGATTGGGAAGAGGGAGCTGGAGCTGATGAAACCCACAGCTACTCTGATAAACATCAGCAGAGGTAGGATGCACAATAAACAAAACTGCATTATGGTTTGCTGGCATAAAAAGTCCTGGGAAAACCCAGCCCTATTGAGTGTCTCTCACTCTGAAATTTTTGGTAAGTTGTCTTGATTACTAGATTATTTAGATGTCCATGGACACATCTCGGCAAAACTTTTAAGCATTCTGTAATTTTGAGCAAGTAGGTCTCTAAAATGTTAGTGAGCTTGGAGTGTTAGAAGCCCATGTGTACTTGCATAGTGTCCTGCTTAAGCTTGCTACTTATTTAGTGCAGTGCTGTTCCTAACGTACATCACAGCCTGCTCTGAGGTCTGGCACTGTGCTTCATTTTGTTGTACTTCATTTTACTGTGCCTTTTAAAATTCCTATCCAACTCCACTGCATGTACCCAAGCTTCCGCCTCCAACTTCACCACACTTCCTCTGCTGCCACTTCTGCTTTGTGAACATTGCTGCCCCTGCTGTATGCGTGACCACTGTGCAAAAGGATGGTGAGAGAACGGTAGGAAATCTGAAAACAAGAGTAGCATCTTTCTTACTGTAACCCAGGTCTGGTTGTGGATCAGGATGCTTTGGTGGAAGCCCTTCAGAAAAAAGTTATTAAGGCAGCCGCTTTGGATGTGACGTATCCTGAACCCTTGCCAAGGTAGGAGATGTATTTAGGTGAAGTATAAATGAGTGTATGTATGTGGTTTGTGGTTCAAAGTAAGTACAAGTTTGTGAGCGTGTGAGAAGTTACACAATCTTGTTAGTAGGAGTACACGATGGACGTGCACTGGTCCTACCAAAACAATGTCCCCAGTCCTTCCGTCCTAGCCAAGCAAATTTCACATTGACTCATTTGGAGGATTTGTTGCATAAAAAACCCACAAGCAAGGCAGCAGTTTGAACTCCACTAAGTATGCTTTGGTCGGGCAATTATTTTTTATTCTTCATTATTATTTTAAATACTTCCCTGGCCCCCTCAAGGTGATGAAATAACAGATGAATGCTCTGTGCGTGACTGGCTGAGTACTTATTTTCCTTTTCCAGGAATCACCCCTTGTTAAAGCTGAAGAATGTTATAATAACTCCTCACATTGGAAGCGCCACCAAAAAGACACGCCGCCTAATGATGGAAGACATGACAGAAAGCATACAAGCAGGTCTTACAGGTCTTCCTATCCCTAATGAAGTATTACTGTAAAGCGGCCTGCATTTAATGTTATTGTCATTAGTGTTTGTCCTGGTGTGATGAAACAGTAATTTGATCACTCTTCATGCAATTATGCCTGGTGTGTATATACAGATCAAATATAATCGTTCTGGTTTCAGCTGGGGTAGAGTTAACTTCCTTCCTAGTAGCTGGTGCAGTGCTGTGTTCTGGCTTTAGTCTGAGAACAATGCTGATAACACACCGATGTTTTAGTTGTTGCTCAGTAGCACGCACTTACTCTGATCACGATTTTTCAGTCTCTCACGCTCTGCCAGTGCGGAGGGGCACAAGAATCTGGGAGGGAGCAGAGACAAGACATGTGACCCAAACTAACCAAAGGGGTATTCCATATCACAGCACGTCATTCCCAGTATATAAACTGGGGGGTGTCACCTGGAAGGGGCTGAAGACTGCTCAGGTTGGGCTGAATATCAGATGGTGAGCAATTGCATTGTGCCTCACTGCTGTTTACTGGGTTTTTTTCTTTCCCCTTCTAGTTTTGTCTTTTCTCCCCTTGTTATTTTCCTTATCATTATTAGTAGTACTATTCTATTGTACTTTAGTTATTAAACTGTTCTTATCTCAACCTGCATGTGGGTTTCACATTCTTTCAGTTCTCCTCCCGATCCTGCCTGGACGGGGGGAAAGGGAGGTGGGGTGTGAGCGAGCAGCTGCATGGTAGTGGGATACCTGATGGTTTTAAACCATGACAATTATGAATGCATCTGAAATTGCCCATCAACATTACATCAAATTGAAGGATGGTTAAATCGTATTCTAGTGTCACCGATGAACTACATGGCACAGCAACCTGTGTCGCACTGATGGCCCTGCTCTTTCCTGATGCTCCAGCAGCAATGTTTACCTTTGGGGAGCAGTTTGCAAGGCTTTGCTGGGGCAGCCCTTAATGGAAACGTAGCAACCAGCCTTAGTTTCACTTTCCAGACGTCTCACCCACCCTAATAACAGAGCCTCTGCCCAACTGTACCTGCACGGGGCTTGGCTATGTGTGTACATGATTCTCCCCGCGCAGGCGGGGCCACCCGCAGCCACCGCCTACCGCCTCCCGTCGCCGAGTCGCTGCCAGCCCTGACCGCCGCGCCGCGAGGGGGTGCAGGCACCGCCGGAGCCGCAGCCCCAGCCACGGGGATCTCTGCAGCGCCGGGTCAGGTCGTGCCTGGCCGGGCCGCAGTGGCAGCATGTTGGGCACTCTGGCGGCAGCGAGTGCGGCGGTGCCGCGGTGGTGCCGGGTGCTACACAGCTCCACTGCCCTGGGCGGCTCCAGGAACCTACTGTGGAAAATGCTCCGGAAAAAGAAGTAGGTGGGGAGGCGCTGGCTGGGCAGAGGGGCCTACCGCCGGGCTGGGCCGGGCCTTGCTGTGGGGTGAGCGGCCGCAGCCGGGCGGGCTGCTGGGTCTTCCCTGCTTCCGCCAGTGCGGGCAGGCGGTGCTGCCGGTGTTGCTGCGGCCTGGCAAGCGAGCACAGGGCCGGAGGTGCCGGTGTCTGGATACTGGGAAGTTCTTCCCTGTGAGGGTGGTGAGGCCCTGGCACAGGTTGCCCAGAGAAGCTGTGGCTGCCCCATCCCTGGCAGTGTTCAAGGCCAGGTTGGATGGGGCTTGGAGCAACCTGGTCCAGTGGAAGGTGTCCCTGGCCATGGCAGGGGGTTGGAGCTGGATGAGCGTTAAGGTCGTTTCAACCCAAACCAGTCTGAGTCTTTTCTCCACCTCTGCATGCAGGTTCAGCCGCGGATGGGGAGCATTGCTCCCTGCACCCCACCCTAGTCTACCTGTTGTGGGGAAAACTACCTGTGGGCATGAAAACCTGTGTGTTGTCTTGTGCCTTCGGGTGGGTGGTAATTTAATTACACAGGGAACCCTTTGTTTTTCTGGGCTGCTGAAAGATAAAGCTGATTTCCTTTCCTTTTCCCCAAAGAAAGAAATTTTGGTATGACAGCCCTACCTTGGGATCTAAAATGGTAAGTGCAAGCTTCTAAGGTGCTGTGTTTGTCTGTGCCAGGAGGAACAAGCTTGTGCTTCTGCCATTGTGTCTGACTTTGAGAAAAGCATTTTCTGGTGGAAATAGCAAAATTCTGTAATGAACACTAGGGCTCCAGTTTCACTATGACATGCCAGGATAGCTGTTGAGAGAAGCCATTCAGCTCCCCATGGCTTCTTCCTCTTCCATGCTGATCTTTCATTCACACCAGATCCAGTGCTGTTTTAGAATCATAGAATCAGTTAGGTTTGAAAAGACCTTTAAGGCCATCAAGTCCAACCACTGACCTAGCTAGCACTGCGAAGTCCACTGCTAAACTGTGTCCCTAAGCACCCTGAACACCCTTGAGCCTACAGCAGAGAACTGATCCAGGTTAGAAATTCTGTATACCAGCTTAGTTTTACTTTTATGGAAACCAAGTTTTTATGTCTGTTTTTCAAACAGGTGCTGCTTTTCAAGTTAATGCATGCTCTATTTTAGAAAAAGGATTTATTGACCTGTGTAACTAGCTACAAAAAAAACCTAAAAGAAACTAAGCGGCCTTGACTGTAATACATGAAGGTCAAAGATTTTGTGAAAAGAAATATTCTTTATTGAAACGTGATATATAAGACCTATATAAGACCATCACAGCTGCAGTAATGGCATTCTAAGAGCATACTTAATAAAATGTAAAAAACTGTATGTTAAATGCTTAATACAAATACAAGTTTGCAACTACAGATTAATGTGTTGTGGTTTTGTTGTGTTTTAAAGATGTGTAAACCAAACACGTTGGCCTCCATAATGAAAGCTGACCAGATAAAAACTAGGAAAGAAGATAACATACGCTTCAGAGTCTTGAATGGTCTTATTCATAAAGCTGTGGCAGAGATGATGGCTACCTGTGAAGTTAATCAAGAACTTTATGATCTTAAGCTGGAAATCTGCAAGGCAAGTGCTAAAGCTTCAACTTGTTTTGAGCAGCTCTGACTACACCTTGGCATGGCGGGCCAAAGGAGCTCCTCTGGGTGTTTTGATGCTTGCAGGAGTTCTACTGCATTGCTTTTGATGTGGCAGAGCACATCAAGATGAGGCTCTGGATTCATTTTGCAGACTAGGAGAACATTGCCATTGTTGCACCTGGCACAGCAGACCTTTGCCATTATAATTGCAAATGCAGCTAAGGCCAACTAAATAGTGATTCTCTTAGTATGACTTAGTTTTGTTACTCAGATATGTAGTATTTGCCTTACCCTTTCTGAAAGGGGAGCCTGGTTTTGCCAATAAAATTGTATCTTTCCCAGAGCCTTTTTTATGCAGCTGTGTGAGGGTTGATACCTCCTGGTGTTCCTCACCAGCATCACTATACAGGCAAAAGACCTAAGTGAGGCATGAGCTGCCTTCAGAAAAAAATACAAGGCTAATAAAATGGCATTGGCAAGCAAAGTTCAAGAAGGAGTTAGAATTTGTACCTAATTGTCAAATTCATGGTTTGAAAGGGACGTAAAAGTGTAAAAGTAAAATTCAGGAACTAAGGCACTTTCTACATTCTTGTTCGTTGTAGGTTTGTTTGTTTTTTTTTTTTTCCCATTTGCAGTTTTATCTGTGTTTGGCTTAAAAGTTTGATGGACTTAGAGGCATGGAAAACCAAATTGCACCTCATAGCTGGTTTTGTCAGCTGAATTCATTCTGTCTTCAAGCATGTGATTAAAATTACCTGGGCAATGTGAATATTTTGGCTTTATATGTGCAGTGTCCTTCATATAGTACTTCTCTCTCCTGGGCTTTGAGGATTGCTTGTCTAAGTTGGATGGCATGTCTGCACTTAAAAATACTGGCTGGTGAAGGCAAGCCGCAGCACTTTCATTGCTGTAAATGAAACAACTTATAACACAAGAGATGGAAAAAAACAGCCTTCTTTCAAATTTAGTGCAGATTTTATTGTAACTGTGTAGTGCTTGGGAAGAGTTTGTGCTGCACTGGGATGTGGCTGAGAATGGATTTATTGATTTATTCTAGAGCTTGATTTATTCTAGAGCTGATGCATGACATCCTTGTCTCTAAATTGGAGAGACATCAATTTGATGGATGGACCACTTGGTGGATAAAGAATGGCTGGCTGGCTGCCCGCAAAGAGTTGTGGTCAACGGCTCAGTGTCCAGTTGGAAAACAGTAACAAGTGGTGTCCCTCAGGGATCGGTGTTGGGACTGGTCTTGTTCAACATCTTTGTTGGTGATATGGACAGTGGGATTGAGTGTGCCCTCAGCAAGTTTGCCGATGACACCAAGCTGTGTGGTTCGATTGATACGCTGGAGGGAAGGAATGCCATCCAGAGGGACCTTGACACACTTGTGAGGTGGGCTGATGCCAACCTCATGAAGTTTAACCATGACAAGTGCAGGGTCCTACACCTGGGTCAGGGCAGTCACAGGCACAGCTACAGGTTGGGCAGAGAAGAGATTCAGAGCAGCCCTGCGGAGAAGGACTTGGAGGTGTTGGTTGATGAGAAACCGAACATGAGCTGGCTTGAGTGTGCGCTCACAGCCCAGAAAGCTAACCGTATCCTGGGCTACATCAAAAGGAGCATGACCAGCAGGTCAAAGGAGGTGATCCTGCCCCTTTACTCTGCTCTTGTGAGACTTCACCTGGAGTATTGTGTGCAGTTCTGGTGTCCTCAACATAAAAAGGACATGGAACTGTTGGAACAAGTGCAAAGGAGGGCCACGAGGATGATCGTGACTATGAAGACAGGCTGAGGAAGTTGGGGCTGTTCAGCCTGGAGAAGAGGAGCCTGCTTGGAGACCTCATAGCAGCCTTCCAGTATCTGAAAGGAGCCTATAAGGATGCTGGGGAGGGACTCTTTGTTAGGGACTGTAGTGACAGGACAAGGGGTAACAGTTTCAAATTGAAACAGGGGAAGTTTAGGCTAGATATAAGGAAGAAGTTCTGAAGTTCTTTCCTGTTAGGGTGGTGAGGCACTGGAATAGGTTGCCCAAGGGAAGTTGTGAATGCTCCATCCCTGGTAGTGCTCAAGTCCAGGTTGGACAGAGCCTTGGGTGACATGGTTTAGTGTGAGGTGTCCCTGCCAATGGCAGGGGGGTTGGAA